CAGTATTCTAAGAATTCATGTTATTAACCTTTTACTACCTTTCGTTTATTGTAGTAGGGTCACATTTTTCTACATAAGAATGAACATGTTAGGCATGAGATTTGGATGAAAAATGTATCATCCTAAATCAAGACTTATTTTTTTCCCCTTGAAATTCTCATTACAAATAAAACCTGTGAAAAATGTTGATAGTTTTCTTTTTTCAGGTTCTCTTTTGGATATATATATATATATATATATATCTTTAATTACATTATAGTTATGAGCTTGTTCTAGCAACATGTGAAATGGTACTAAATTAAAAAATGTCAAAAGGATCTCTAGTTACTCAAAAGATAGAAGTTGCTTTGGGGGCTAAATGATGGCACAATTGTGAAACACGAAGGTCTGCTAGGGTGACTCACATTGGAAGGTTTTGAGTTTGTGTCCTGGGACTTCCCTGAGTATGCCAGATATGAGCACATTAATGATTTGAGGCTAGATAAGATTGTAGTTGTCCAGACTCTGTTGAGGGTCACTGTCTGTCTCTCTCTTCCATTTGGAAACAAATAGACTTAAAAAAACAGTTGTTTTGGGGATGTCAAACTAAATTCAGATGCTGAATGAATCAAATAACAGTTAAAGTAACATGCCACTTGCTAAATGTTTCTCTTAAGATACCAGGCAAAAGTTTCATCACAGAAAGAAAAAAATGACTGGAAATTAGAGTAACTTAAATCAATGAATATGGTGTAAGTCTAACACAATTTTGCATTTTAAAAATCACCTATTTTACCATGCTCTGTAACAGATGAGTAGTGACATGCATTTTTCCTTGAATTTTATTAGTTGCGAATATAAAAATAAACATATAAGATTATTTTGTGGCTCATGTGCCATTTCTCTTTTGAGAATAGATTATGAATATTTTACTTTGATAGATTTTTTTTCTTTCCTTTTTTTTGGCTAGAAGCACATACACTTTAGAGAGACAGAGAGAGGGAGAAGAGAAAGCACTCCTCCATATCTCAGGGGGGTGGCCATGGCAAAAACCCTTCTCTTAATTTCTTCCTCCTTGTAGGATTTTGCGCACACACACACACACCCACACACACACACCCACCCACACACACACACACACACACAGAGTGGACAAGTCTCTGTGTGTGGGTATCAGTGGTCAGCCTGTGGGATCCAGCTGCCTTAACCAGCAGCTTGGCTTGAAAGGATTCTGTTTGACTTTGTTAATTAGAATTTAGCAGCAGTTTTGGAGGACAAGACTTTGAATAGCTTCTCTTTTACTACTACATCTCTTTTCTTGATTTTCAAGAGGAAGTGATTCTTAGGGAAGAATGCCAGCAAATCACATTCTACTGGAGCATCTTCACACTGGGGGGCACGTGTGAACTGGCTCATTAAACCCACTAACCCTGAGTCTTGGGTCTTTTCCTGGATAAAATTTTCATGGGAAGTAGTGAAAATTATTCATGAGATTCTAAAGGTAGAACTTATTTGATGTTTGAAAAGAATAATTTGGAGATGTTTAGAGTAGCCCAGATACTAGTTTATTATTGCCTGCAGCTGGTGGTTACAGAGCTGTCTCATCTCTAAAAGCACTTAACCTTACTCTCTAAATAAGAAAAGGTATTGAATTTTTGTAAAGCAGCTCAATTCCAAAAAATTGCTTTAAGGTTTTCTGTTAGTATTATTAATCTTTAAGCATTTATGTCTAAAACTAGTCACTATTGAGCCATTGCATATATTGGTTATTGTTACATCTAATATGTTTAATGATTTTAAATATTTTAATGATTAACACATAGTGTTTATTAGGACTTTGGCTTTTCTCTTCTAATGTAGTGGAATTTAAATATAATCATATGGGGCCAGCAAGTGGTGTGGTGGTTAAGGGTGCTGGCCTCCCACAGGGCCAACTGCAGTTCGAGTCCCAGACCTGGCGGCTTCCTTTCTCACTTTCCCTCTTTCTCTTTCTTGTGTGTGTTCTCTCTGAACCCTCTGGTCAAAATTTAAAAATAAATAAATAAAGTTACATAAAATAATTCTTGGGAACCAGCAGTTAGCATAATGGCTATGTCGCTGGACTCCCTCGTAGTTGACCGCGGTTCGCGTCCCGGACCCGGTGGCTTAAAACTCACGCCGGGTGCGTGTGCGTGCGTGCCCAAGATCCCGAGAGGAGAATGGAGGAGAAGGGATTGCGGTGTGACCATCCCCCCTGGGGGGTGATTTCTCGCTTTCTGTCTCTATGTCTCTCTCTCTCTGTCTGGCGAGCGCACGCGCCCTATAGCAAAAACCTCTCTAAAAAAAAAAAGTTACATAAAATAAAATAATTCTTAATAAATAAATAAATATAAGCACATGAATTAAGCACACCACACCCCCCACCTTCTTTCTCCTGGTCATCAGAAATCCAGGACAGAAATGAAGAGCTGACCATACTCAGCTTTGGGACTGCAAGTGAGCAAACCATTGAGCATAGAACCAAAATATTTAATAATTCTAATTAATGAGGCCTTCAAAAATATTTTTGGTTATAGATAGGGAAAATAAGAAACTTTCTGAAAAAATATTTTTAAAGAAAAAGATCCATCCCACTACTAGCTATCAGTTTTTTAGGAGATAGTTACTTTTCTTTTTTGCTCTTTACAAAATATTTATAGCATTATATGACTACTTAGTCTCTGAAAGACTGACTCTGAAAGTATGAAATAAGAATTTCTAGTTTTTAAAGTTACTGCATCTTCAAATTTATGCATTTAGGTGAGCCAAATAGCTATGTCATTGTCTAAGCAGAATACTTTTTCCTTTCCCTTTGGCATAACTCAAATGCTTTAAATCTTATACTTGTTCTTTTAGATCATTGATTCCCAACTTATGGCAGCCAGATGTCTCATAAATTAAAGAAGTATTGTTTGAAGGATTCCGACTTTCTTATTTAAAAAAAATTACTCATTGAAGTGTGACCCTTGTTAATGTGAATTATTGTAACGCTCATATTATTTAACTGCTCACGTTATTATATCTTGATTCTTCACTGAAGTTGCTAGCTTTTTAGTTAGGGATGCTAGAATTTCTCTGCATTATTCCTTATATCTAGTAAAGACTCACTCACATAATTTGTTCATTGATTGATTTATTTCTTAAGACCTCCTCACTAAGCCTGATATCAACCAAATGTGGCAAATTCCGAATGACATCTGCCATGCTCTGCCTGTGTCCAATCCAGCTCAAGGCAGCTTGGCAAAACTGACCCTGACCAAGATTATGTACGTGATCAAGGAATCTGGCTGAGTATCCTAAATGCATCTGAAATCATATTGTGAGTATTGTGGAGAAGGCAGAGGAAGTATAGCAACTGTTATTTTGAAGACTAGTGAATAAACCACATGTAGGAGAACTGCTTCATGCATTGAGATCATATTCTTAGGTCAGTCCCATAGGCTAGTAGTTAAGGGACCTGGATCCCACATGGCTGATTGCAATTCTAATCCCAGTCCAGGTGGCTTGAAAAACATGCTGGTGTGTATGCATCTGTGCCTGAAGTCCTGAGAGGATGGAGAAATGGAGGAAAAGGGATTGCAGCATGGTCACCTGTCTTTCTCTGGAGAGCACATATGCCCTTGGACAACTAAAAAATCTTCTTTTAGCTAATTTATCCAGCCAACTACCAGGTCGCTAGCAATCTGTGATAAGTTTTTCACTCTCGTTATAAAAAATCAATAAGGAAACTTTCAGAAATGATTCTTACAGTACTTTCTAGGATGACAACTTAAAAAGCCTCAGCAGCAACGACGGGGGTACTCACCAACTCAACGTTGTTCGCAGGGAGTTTGTAATCATAGGAGTAGGGGTAGAGCATCATCTGGGAGTACGAGTGGATCGTCAGGTATGCCTTGATGGAGGAGAGGTTGCTGCGGATGAAATCAGCCAGGGCTTTGGTCTCTTTTTCAGACTCGGCTGCAGACCCGCAGTAAGTTTCATCACAGGGGCTTCGAGACGCTCCAATTTCTGGAAAAATATGTGTTGCTGTGAGTGACAAACTATCTCACCTAACTGACATTCTTCCAGGAGATGTCTCAAACTTTCAAACTAGGGAGTTAAAGGTGAATTGTTCTCACAGCAGTCTTTATAGTTATCTTAAATGATATATACATTCTGCATTAAAGTATGTATACATGTAGTCCCAAGAGTAGAATGGTGTGTTTTTAAGCTAGAAGTAAAAAATCACACATGAAATAGCCAATGTATCTCTACACCGTATTATGCTAGAAGATCAATATAGTATAAGAGAATTAATAAGTAGGAGGTAAACCATATCTATGAAAAAAATTCTAAATTACTGTTATCATTAGTAATTGCATCACAATTTTAATGAAAAAACCTATTTATGTAATGACTGGCTCCTCCCTTAGACTGTATCTTCTACAGGAAGTGGGATTACATCTGGGTTGTTCAGTCTTATGTTCAGTAGCTAGCATGGCCGAGAACATAACACAGTGCTCAATACATTTTTGTGGAATGAATTAATAAATTGTATCGTCTATGTTTTTAGAAAGTTCACACTTGCAAGTATAAACATTTTTCTTATTTTAGACACTGTTGTGTATTCTTATGTCATTGGTCCTCTTCTATTCTCACCTAGATGTATGCAAAGTGGTCAACCAGAGACTTACCACACCAACCAGCGTCAAAATTTCTGTTGGGGTCTGTGCCAACACAGGACGTTCCAGACTGGGTGGAGCGAGTCTTTCTCCACATTCGGTTCTAAAAGAAGACTGTGTGGTTAGCACAAGTATAGTAGAAAGTGATTGGTTTTAATTCCATCAGCTTCTTTCAGTTTTGATTCATATACCTTGGTCCAGGTGTAGACATAGCCATCAATGTTGACCACAGGCAGGACATAGAAGTCTAACTTGTCGAGAAGCTCTGTCATGTGGATCTCCTGTCCATAGGTGCGAACAGCCTGCATAAGAATTATGAAGCAGGGACCAGCAGTTAGCATAATGGCTATGTCACTGGACTCCCATGTAGTTGACCATGGTTCGAGTCTTGGAACTGGTGGCTTAAACTCATGCTGGGTGCGTGTGCGTGCGTGCTCAGGATCCCAAGAGGAGAAAGGAGGAGAAGGGATTGCAGGACGGCTATCCCCCCTGGGGGGTGATTTCTCGCTTTCTGTCTCTCTGTCTTTCTGGCAAGCGCACGTGCCCTATAGCAAAAACCTCTCAAAAAAAAAAAAATAAAGCAGGATTTCATAGAAAAATGGATTGCATGCTATTGCTAAAATTTACATGGACTGGATAAATATTAACTTTGTTCATGAAAGCAGTTTACCCTATTGAGGTAGATAATGTTAAAAACATTATATTGTTATGTATATTTTTGTTTAAAATGGTTTCTAATTCTTCTCTGCATCTAGAATATATTTATTTCACATAATTATTACTTTGTACTTTAACTTTTTACTTTAAAGATAAACAAATATTTAATATAATTAAAAACGTTCAAAGAATATATATATATTCACTTCCTTTGAAGTAGCAACTGCAATGACTTTTTTTTCAAAGTTGGTTGCATGTTAAGATCTAATCTTAGTAAGTAAGACATATCTAGAAAAGGCTATGCATGTTTCTAATATTGTCATCTAGAAATTTATATTTTTTAGGAACACTACTGCCAACATAGAAGAAGAATATAAACACCTCTCATTACTAAGTGAGCACACACTGATGGATTCTGGGGAGGCTCTCACCAACACTCCAAACTACTTAATGATGGAAGTCTCCTTCATTATCTTACTAATGAAGTGAATCCTGAGAGTGGCAGGTGGCATGGTGGTTAAGGGCACTGGACTCCCACATGGTCAATGTGGTTTGAGTCTCGGGCCTAGAGGCTTGCTTTCTACTTTCTTTCTCTTTCTCTCTCTGTCCCTCTCTGGTCAAATTAAAATAAATAAATAAAGTTAAATAAAATAATTCTTTTTAATAAAAGAGAGAATCTTGGTAAGGGACCAGTGTTCCCTTTTACGTGATGTGAACACTTATCTATGAATGAATGACATTATTTCCCTTTAAAATAGTCTTAGATATAATCTGTTTGCTCTAGCATCATAGTGAACGTAAATTCAACCTTTCCCTATGCCTGCTTGAATGTATTTCAAAGTACGTAAGACTTCAATGAATGCACAGTTCTAATATATTCTTGGTAACTCTACACATATGTAGTAAATACAATAGTACATGCAAAAAATGTGTTTTTTAAGTTTGATGATTTATAGAACCATGTTATATTTTTAATTATTTTATTTAACTTTATTTATTTATTTTTAATTTGGATCAAAGAGAGACAGAGTAAGAGAGAGAGAGTGAAAAAGTAAGAAAGCAAGCCGCCAGGTCCAGGACTCAAACTACTTTTGGCCAAGTGGGAATCCAGTGACCTTAACCATCATGCCATCTGCCAGCCCCTAGAATCATGTTATTTTAATGGTCTAAAAATTGGAGAAAATGATGCATCTCAGTTTTAAAGCTGAATTCTCTCCTACATGGCAGATGTTGAGAGACCCAGTTAGATACATGTCTGCCAATGAAGACCATAACACATATAGAAATGCTATACACACACAAAAATCATGTTGTCCATAATTACACTCTCACATTTTTAAAGCACTTCAGTATTTTTCATTTGAAATCATTTTAGATGTACAGAAGGATTGTAAAAATATTACAGGGAGTTCCCATATGCCCTTCACCCCGCTTCTCTTAATGTTCTCAGTTTACATAATCAAGGTACGATGACCAAAGTGAGGAAATTAATGTGGGTATAATACTGTAAAGTAAACTACAGGCTTTATTCAGATGTCACCAATTTTCCCACGAATGTCCTTTTTCTGTTCCCAGGAACTGATCTAGGACCCCACATTCTATTTGCCGTGTCCATAGTCTCGGTTGGCCTGTGAGCTCTGCCTTTCCTTATCTTTCCTCACACTGTGGAAAGTTAGTCATCAGGTTATTTTGTGAAATGTCCTCCAATCTAGGCTTGTTTAATTTTTTTTAATTAATTTTTTTATCATTGGAGGTTATGCATTTTGTGGAAGAATGTCACAAAGTCTTTTCGGTGCATAAAGTCACAGGGTACATGTTATAGATACGTGTTAAGTATGGTGAAGTTAACCTTGATTACTTGGTTAAGGCACTTTCTGCTAGGTAACTCTGCTGTATGTGTTCTCCTTGTAAGTAATATAATTTGAGGGGCCAGATACTTTGAGACTCTGTGAATATTCCATTTCTCCTTAAACTTATACCAATTAATTTTTTCATCTATTTGGATGTGCTTGAAATGATTATTACCACTTTTTTTTTTTTTCCCTATGGAGTGTGTGCATTTGCTTGGGTGGAGAGAGAGAAAGTGAGAAAACACTTCCAAGGGGGGATGGCCATACCACAATACCTTCTCCTCCATTCTCCTCTTAGGGTTTTGGGCATACATGCACACATACCTGGCATGTTTTTCAAGCCACCGGGTCTAGGACTCGAACTGCACAGTTAGCCATGTAGGATCCAGTGCCTTAACCTTCATGCCACATGCTGGCCCCATATTGGTGTACTGTGAATTGTATTTTGATAATTGTTTGTGCATGCATTGTATGAGTCGTGTATGAGTTGTAATTCTGCTAGAAAGAGTTTTTCCTTTTCTCCCTTTTATTTACCTATTTAGTCATCTATTTCCTTCAGCATGAACGTATGGATGTTTAAAAACTTTAGCTTTTAAAGAAATCATAAGGAATAGAAAACAGTAACATTTAGAGTAAAAACTACTATGTACTCTTTTATTTGGGGTGAAAATGATCATTATCTAAAAGATAATTATCAAATTGGCTGTTTATACATAACCATTAACTTTTTTTTTTAGGAGTGATTTTTGCTATAGGGTGAGTGTACTCTCCAGAGGATAATATATATAGAAAGAGAGACAAAAAGTGAGACATCACCCCCTCCCAGGAGGGAGGGTCATGATGAAGTCCCTTCTCCTCCATTCTCCTCTCGGTATCCTGGGCACACATATACACACGCCCAGCAAGAGTTTCAAGGTACCAAGTCTGGGACTCAAACCACAGTCAACAATATGGAAGTCCGGTGACATAATCATTATGCCATCTGCTGGTCCCATAATCATTACCTTTTAAATGACCTACCCACTATACTAGCTGTTAGCCTCTTTACTAAAAGTTCGTAAAAAGATTCAAGTGAGTGATATTCAAACAAATACTATTTTGTAACTGTTTTAAAGCCTTGCCTGATAAAAATCTGCTGGTGAAAATTGAAATTGTTTTCTAACAATGAGGCTGTAGAATTATGAATATTTTTCTGTGTTACTATCTTCTCTTTTATAGCTTTATAAGGAATTAACTGAAATTTAGAAAATTACTTTCTTTTTTCTTTTGAATTATTTATTTTTTCTTCTTGTTTTATTTACATTTCATCACTGTATATTTTGTAGCATACAAAAGGAATCTTCCCAGCATGAATACACTGCATATTAGTCCATTCAAAGATATTACCGTATCCATCATCCTTAACTCACTTTTACATCTGTTGAATGCTTTTCTTTTCTTTTTTTTTTGTCTATGTCCCACTGCTCACTTTTCATACTGACCTCTCTCACGAACCACTGACAAAATGCAGGAGAAATCCACTCTCTGGCATGGAAACCACAGTCCATGAAGATAGCAGGCTTATCTGATCCAGCTTTGCCAACCTATTGCAAACAAAAGAAAAAGAGAAACTATGATTCATTATACAGCCTTCAGGGGTTGATATTCACTACATATCTAAGCTTTGGATTCAACAGGTAAAAACCTGACAGCCGCAAGAGCTATATCCCATGATTAAATTAAAAAGCATAATACCAGCACAGTATGTTCTTGCCTCTAGACACTCACATTGTTTGAGCTGAAAGCTTACATGGCTGTTTATTATTTTTATTAAGCTTGTCAAGCTCATATTTTCAGAAGATGCTTGATTACCCTGCTTAATTGTATTCACGTGGAGGTTATTTTCAGCTGCTATTATTAGGTGACATGACCAAGACAACTGGATGAGTAATTAGAAATAATCATGATTGTTTCTAATCTTGTAAGGTTTTTTTTTCTTCTCTCCCACTTATTCCCTGTCTTTTTATTTCCTTCATTAGAATTACATGACAAAAATGGCATTAGAGGATGACAGAAACAAATTGTTGATACGCTTTGTAATGTTGTCTGATAGACATGAGGTTTATGAACCTCTTTAGCAAATGGATTTGCAAACAACAGCTGGAAAAGAAGAATTTCATCAAGGTAGATGATCATTTACATTGCTTACAGGAATATAGTTAAATTTATAGGACTTCTCTTATTTTATTGCATTTTTCCTTTTGAATAAATCAAAATAATGATTTAGAAATTCACATATGATAAAAGAAGCAGAGGAATCTGTTTGATTCCCTGGGGGATATAGGCAGGAAAGGAGTTATGACAATGTGTGGGAGAAGCGTGTCTGTGAAACAGATGCTCATGTGTTGGAGTTCATTGATTTAAAGCCCTCAGACATGGCGAAGTCATGGTTAAAAATGATTACCTTGAGGAGATGCATAGTCCGTCCTTCAAATGTGGTGCCGATGGTTTGACGAGAGATGAGCTCTGGATTATCAGCAGTGACTTGTTCAATCCAAGCCTCTATCTACCAATTGGAACCATTGAGGATTAATTGACATTCTTGGTTCAGTTCCCGAAGCAATGTCTGCCTGAATCATGTGCATAGCATACCGTTTCCCACTTGTTGTACTTCTCATAGCTGTGTCCGGTCGCACGGACCTGGCTATCAAACTGGGCCTCCAACACGTTTCTCAGGTTGTGTATCAATACCCTGCAATGAAGCAAAGAGTGTCATTCTGTGAACATGAGTGTATTTCTCCCAAGTGGACACACATGGAAGCTCAGAGCTACTGCTTTAGTAGATGGTTAAATAAATAAAAAGATTCTCCATGGATTCATGTGTTCTCTGATGATCCAGGGGAACTTTTAGCCTGAGATGCTCAAGGGAGTTTCTGTTACTGATCATAAAGTGGAAGTCATTAAGAAAGATGTTAGTGGGCAAGGTAGTACTTGCTTGGCCCAAAGGTGTTTGAGAACCGTTAGGTTCTAAACTTGAAAAATGGTTTCCCTGGTACCTGAGGCATTCTAGGTCAAGGCTTTGGACTTCAAACATCAATTATCTATGGACATTCTTCCTTAAGACTTCCTTGCTTTTAGCCCTAAAGTCCCCTCCCTGTTCTAGGAATCTACTCTGTCATAGGTAAAAGGAGACAGTCGGTCATCCAGGGCCTATCTCTAGGTTTTGAGAGAAATATCTTGGTGGCTGGAAATTCAGAATTTAATTCAGAAATAATAACAAGTTAGGATTTATTATGCCAAAGACTGAATAATAGATTTTATTTATTTTTAAAGAGAGAGTTTTGCTATAGGCTATGTGTGCTCTCTGGAGACAGAGGGGGACAGAGAGACAGAAAATGAGAAATCACCACCCTAGAGGGTATGGCCATGCCACAATCCCTTCTTCTCCATTCTCCTCTTGGGATTTTGGGCACTCACGTACATGTTCCTGGCATAAGTTTTAAGCCACCAGGTCCCAGACTCGAACCATGGTGACTACGTGGGAGTCCAGCGAAAAAGCCATTACACTATGTGCTGCTCTCAAGAATACTGGATTTTAAAAAACTAATTTGTACTTTCCCATCTTTCAGTTGGTTTAAATAATCTAAAACTGATTCTATAGCATGGTGATAAGAAAATCAGTATCAGAACTTTTGAGGCCTACCTATTCCTGTAAATGAACTGTTAAGTTAAAATTTCCTATTCTAAAAGGTAAGCCTAAGGGTGTGGGGATGTGTGACTTCATTTCCCTTAGCTACTTTGAGTGGAAAGTGTGTTTAGAGGAGAAATGTCATGAGCAAATATGTCCTTGATCACAGCCCTGTGAATATTATAGGCAGAGGACAGTTTGCAGAAACTTCTATTATCCACTCAAGCCTTGAAGTAGAGACTTGCAGCTCCACATCAAAAGTCTGCTTGTCCTCCGGTTGCCCCAAGGACATTCTGACCAAGGACGTCAGGGCCAGTCTCTGAACCTCCCTCCTGGTTGCTCCTTTATTTAGTGAACTTGGGTATGAACTTGTGCCCGTTTATGGAAAATGCAATAAATTAATACTAAATGATATCTGCTTCCTGGCAAAAGGCAAAGACTCTCTTAAGGCCTTAACTAACTTTTGCTGTGTTAAAAGAGAAAAAGGAAAAGGAGATTTAAACATTCATCCTTAAAAAGAACATTTCCTGTTGAGCAGCCATCGGTACTTGGTTAGTGTGTTGGTTTTCTATGGTTGCTATGAATTACCACCTAGTTAGTGGCTTAGAACACTGAATTTATTCTTTTACAGTTCTGTAGATTGGAAGTTCAGCTCAGTTCAACTTTCATTGGGCTAAAAACAAAGTGTGATCAAGGATGTGTCTCTCCCTGGAGGCTCTAGAGGAAGATCAGGTTCTCTGCCCTTTCAGCTCTTAGAGGCCTTCCATGTTCTTTGACTGGAACTTCCCCTCTCTCTTCAAAGCTGGTATCAGCAGATTGAGTCCTTGGCATGTTCAATCACTCTGACCTCCTCTTCTGCCTCCCTCTTCCACTTTTAAAGATCCTTGTAATTACATTGAAAGTACTGGGTAATCCAGGATAACCTTCCTGTTTTAAGGCCAGCTGATTAGGAAGCTTACCCATCTATGACCTTAATTCCTCTTTGCAATACAGTATAACATGTTCTGGGCATAAGGATGCAGGCATTTTGGAGGGACCATCAGTCTGCCTGCTACGGTTAAGAGCTATATTGATGTAAGTACTGAAATTATATTCAACCATTCAAATTGGATTGTTAGGACATAGGGTGGAAGTACTAGGAATCATAACCTAGGAATTAAAAGATCAAAGATCAAGATCACAGGTTTATTTATTTATTTATTTAGTGCTATTTATAATTTATATTTAGAAAAGTGATGAGGATTTAATTTCCCCAGTTGAAAAAGGGGACTATTCGAATAGTAGATTTCTATTGTCCTTTTCAACTCTATTATCAGTGAAGACTATAGTCCATAGACCTTGATCATGTACATAAGCATCTTCTTCTTTTTAAAAATTTGCCACAGGGTGAGGGCACTCATCAGAGATCAAGAGAAAAACACACACAGAGAGAAAGGGAAAGTGAGAAAGCACCCCCCATGGGGATGGCTATGCTGCACTTCCCTTCTTTTTCTTTTTTCCTTTCCGGATTTTGAGCATGAACACACATGTGCCCAGCATGTGTTTTAAGCTTCCAGGTCTGGGATCAAACTGCGTAACTGTCCGTGTGGGATCCAGCCACCTTAACCACCATGCTACTGGCTGGCCCATACATGGCCTCAAAAGTTTATTTAAATTTTTTCCCTAGTTATTGCTTTCATAAAGATTAGGAAAACAGGAAGGAAACTAAAGCCCCAATTAGAGAAAGTTTAGGGAAATGATTTTCAAGAGTGACTAAAAACTAAGAACAGAAAAACAAAAACAAAACAAGAAAAGCAAAACCCTAGAAACAAACAAAAATTTCAACTGGCGGAAATGGAAGAAAGCACCTATGTGTGCTCTTATCAGTTTGGAAGTACAAGGTCTGTCTAACAAGGAAACATATGTCTGACTGAACAACCACTGATCCCCATCCGCCCCCAAAAATATCAACTCTAAGAGGAAATGGTAAATGACATGGACTTTCACTTTAATAAGATTTCCTGTCAATAATAAACAAACAAAGCAGCATCTAAATTGTGTGGCTTCTTAGTGGTTGCCCAGAGCAAAGACAATGGTCAGTTGTTTGCTCCCAGGTCTCCACAGCCTCCAGACTTTCAGTAGACATCTGTATCAAAGGCCATGACAATGGCCGTCTATGACTCTAAGGTCTATAGGAACCAGCATTGGGTGGAGGGGCCATGAAGCTCCCGGGGCTTAGCAAACCCTTTCATCCATACACAACCTTAAGTTCAAATTACTTAGGAGAATCAGTGACTGTGGAGGAGGCAGTATATCCTTTGGTACTATGAAGACATTGTGCTAAAATTATTACTGTGTTAAATATTAAACATTTTCACCAATCACCAGAGCAAAAAAGCATAAAAAGCCAGTTAGTTAAATTTAAGATGACACCCAAGGGTAAATGTATCCTCTTGTAACTTGCCAAAGAGCATCAGAAGGAGGTTGAAATGTGGTTCTGGCTTTGCTCTGAAGGTGAGAGATTGACCTCAAATGATCCTTTGCAGCCCTATGATTATTTGATTTTATTAGATTTAGGGCAAAGCACAACTTTAGCTATATTACAAAATATTATTACTAAATAATGAACTTCTATCTAGAAGATTAAAACAATGCCTCTTAATATAATAGGGACTGCATTTCAGCATGAACATGCAGAGGCATCCACACTATTTTATTCTTTTATATGCTCCTTTTTATACTGCCATCTAACTTCTTCTTTCCTTAAACATGCAAGAAAATTAGATAATTGGGACTCCCCAAGAAAGCCAGGAACATGTCTGAGAAGGAAAGAGAGACATGAGGCAGTTTTATCTCCCTTTCCGAGTGCTGAGAGTAAACTGTTTGGTCAGGGCCTGGACTGTGTGCCCATTGCTAGCTGAGAACACTGTTCTGATAAATGATGTTCTAGGCAGTTAGCAACAATAAATCTCTCTCTGGGTTGAATAAGACAAAGATAGCCTTCTTGCAATTAGTAGGAAAGAATCCCGTGAATGCTGCTCACAAAAAAGGTTCTGTCAACTTCAGAACCATAAATTGCAGGTGTACTTCATCTGATTCTTAGTCTTTCTTTTTGCACACATAGTACGTTTTTTTTCATGACAAATCAGAATCTGATTAAAGGTGTCAAATAATACACGTCTTGGAGAAAAGAGTTGAAACCACTGAACAATCCGAAAAGCTATTTTGGGGAAACTTGTGCCGTAGATGGTGTCTGCTGCATACAAACACAACTGCAAATTCCTGCCAGCAGGCAACTGTCTAAATACAAATTAGTTACCATATGAGGTAATAATCAGTTGCACAGGGACTGCTCGTGGCCCCGGCAAGGATATTGCTGGTGTGCTTCTCCAGGATTTCTAGGGACTGATTATTATTTAATATTTAGAAAAGCATATGCTACAAATGTGCGAAGCCGTGAGCAGGGAAGCAAAAATGAACAAGATCTTCTTTCTCAGGAAATATCCTATGTTCTCGATGAGACAGCATTCATACACAATTTCCAAAAAGTTTCCCACTAAAAAAAGGAAGGGAATTTTTATCTATAAATGGAGATTGCAGTGTGATGGGAAGCCCTTTCACTGTTTCGTGAGGTGAGCAGAATTAGGACATTTTTCATTTAGCTAGGGTTAGACTATGGTCATAAACCCTTGTTTTTTCTTAAAGAATTATATATTAAAAAAAAACCCTGTCATCTTTTTGAAGGCAATTGAACGCTAACAATGGCTAGGATTTTAGAAGTTTTTCTTAGTATATTAAGAACAAAAAGTGTTAGACATGAGTCTTAGCCAAATTTTGAAATTTACTGGGTTATATCTTTGTTTTAAATGTCAGTTTTCCTAGGGTCACATTTGTATACTTCCCGTAGGCAAAAACAGATAGCTAGACTATGTGAAGCATGTTAATGAGGTTAAACATAACAGTTTCTGTTGACTCTTAAGAAATGTATCATTTCCTTTTTTGTACAATAGTAAACCATAGCAGCATTCTCAGTAGCAGTAATAATACCAGTTGGAATTTATTTACATACTGTTTTGTTCCATTTTCACAGCAGCCCTTTGAGAAAGGCATTATATCTTTATTTTATGAATAAAGGAACTGAAGGCCAGAAAGGTTAAGCAAATTATCTAAGGTCACACAGCTAGGAATTTGCAGATCATAGGAATTAGGATTGAAATCTGGGAATCAGCAGTTAGTGTAATGGCTATGTCACTGGACTCCCATGTAGTTGACCGTGGTTCGAGTCCTGGACCTGGTGGCTTAAACTCACACCGGATGCTTGTGCGTGCATGCCCAAGATCCCGAGAGGAGAATGGAGGAGAAGGGATTGGGATGTGTCCATCCCCCCTGGGGGGTGATTTCTCGCTTTCTGTCCCTCTGTCTCTCTGTCTCTCTCTGTCTTTCTGGCGAGCACATGCACCCTATGGCAAAAACGTCTCAAAAAAAGAAAAAAAGATTGAAATCTGGTCTGTTTTTTCCTCAAAGCTTTTACTTACTGCATTACACCATATCACTTCTCCTGACGAAGGAGAGGTTTTATAGGTGACAATCTGACATCTTTACTGGCACGAATACTATTCTACACACTCAGGATGGAAAAAAAAAAAGAGAGAGAACGGTTCCAATGTTAAAATTATGTAGGTCACATTTTCTCGATATGTTACGAAGACTCAAGCTTGAAGTGAGGGAGTGTTGGATAAACATTTCAAGCCTGGAGCCTAAGACTATCTCTTTGCTTCTCCCTGATCCTCTCCTCGCCTCTCCCCTCACACAAGGAAGAGCTCTGATTTGTACTGAAGACCTCATTTCTTCCTTCCCTCTCATGCAAATGCTTCCAGGGACATGATCTCTCTCACTTCTAAGTCTTAGAAAATAGTCAGTTCTTTGTCTAGAGGTTGTTTTTCCTTGTCTCCCACTCATTTCTGTTTGCAGCTAAGGTTTCATTTCCTAGGGAAGCCCTCCCTAATCCCCAGACTTGGTCCCCTGAATCTTTAGCATTTTACCCTGTGTGATATTTATTGTATGATATTACAATTTCTCACTTAAAGTTTGTCTAAAGGAGGCAGGGCAACATCTATCCTTTTTGGTTCTTCATACGGCAATCAGTATCTATATTTTGGATCAACAAATGGACAACAGCCTCTCATTAGGAGGATTTTCTCATTATGAAAGACCTAGGAAGGCCAGTGTGGTATTTGCGGAGAGTAAATGTGGGGTGATCCATTTAGTTAACTCTACTCCAGGCCTTAGGGGAATCACTTTATTTTTTCTGGGTCCTCCTTTTCATGTCTTCTTTTACCACTGGAGATAGTGGGAGAGCCTTGGGTAAGAAAGGACAGATGGCTACTCACACAGACCCCAGTTTATAAGCTTAAAGAGCATGAAGAAGCTCCATGATCATAATAGGTCTGGCTGGTCACTCATGAAGAAGAACTGCTAATCCTGAGCTATAACTGTGCCTAGCTGATCACAGGGTAGCCTTTGGTTTTTCTTTTTTCTTGCTCTTTACATATTACTTAAAAATCAGTAGAGGTCAAATATCTCACTGAAGACTTGGAGTTCACAAGTCAACACCATTTTCATTAGTGTAACAACTGAACACAAAAGGCTTGATGTCTTGTCTTTTCTTTTAAAGAGGTTTTTGCCTTGGGACCAGCAGTTAGCATAATGGCTATGTCTCTGGACTCCCACGTAGTCGACCGCGGTTCAAGTCCTGGACCTGGTGGCTTAAACTCACACCGGACACGTGTGCGTGCATGCCCAGGATCCCGAGAGGAGAATGGAGGAGAAGGGATTGCGGCATGGCCATCCCCCCTGGAGGGTGATTTCTCGCTTTCTATCTCTCTGTCTCTCTCTGTGTTTCTGGCGAGCGCATGCACCCTCTAGAGAAAACCTCTCTCTCTCAAAAAAAAAAGAGGTTTTCATCTTAGGGTCTATGTGCTCGCCAGAGAGAGAGACAGAGACAGTGAGAGGGAATGTGAGAAATCACCCCTTGAAGGGGATGGGCATGCCATAATTCCTTCTCCTACATTCTACTCCTGGGATCTTGGGCACACATGCACACATGCTCAGCATGAGTTTCAAGGCACTGGGGTCTGGGACTCAATTGCAGTCAGATACGTGGGAGTACAGTGGCCTAACTGCTATACCATCTGCTGGCCCCAAGACGTGAAGTCTTTTTTTTTTTTTTAGAGTGAAATTTTTGCTACAGGGTACATGTGCTGGCTGGAGAGACAGAGAGACAGAAAACGAGAAATCACCCCCCAGTGGCGATAACCATGCTGCAATCCCTTTTCCATTCTCCTCTCAGGATCTTGGGTATGCAAGCATATGGGCCTGGCATGAATTTCAAGCCTCTAGGTTCAGGACTCAAACCCTGGTCAGCCATGTGGGAGTCCAGTGACATAACCATTACACCATCTGCTGGCCCTGGCTTGTACTCTTAACATTTAGAGTCCAGGGCCAGCTCTTCCGTTACATATTCTTGGGACCCTGGGGCAGGCATGGTTTGGTTTCATTTTTACCTTCCTAGGGTTACTCAAAGATTCAGACAAAAGCTTGCATGGGAGACAATTTTAATAGCTATAAAATATAAACTTACTCATGTTGTAGTTCATTCTGGTCCAGAAAGTCCTCGACAGTGACAGTATCTTCTGCTTTAACACGGAAGTCAACTGAACTGTGAGGTTTGATTTGGGTGACAGAATCTGGTTTCCAGAAGTCGATCTGAATAAAGGACAAGAAATATCATATTGGATGGCTCTCATTCACTGGGTGAAGGGTCATCTGGGAGCACACTGTTGCTCTATTCCACTGAGTTCTTTTCCAAAGCAAATTATCTTTGAAATCACACACACACAAAATATCTCCTTTGACTGAATGAAGGTTGGGACCAAGCCATTAGATGCTGATACAAATGTTTACAAATACATACATAACCTTAATTGATAGCAACAAACTTGAAGAACATGTAATCATTTTACATAATGCTAGTTAATTGCGGTATTCTATAACACTCTTT